TTAAGCCATAGCAACACAGAGATCCCTTTCTTTGGATCCAGCATTTCCCATTTTTCAACCTGAATAAAAACACCCTCCTCATCTCTCTTTCACTGCAGTGGCCATTAATTCAGGAGTGCCCCCACATCTGACCAATAAAGAAGACCCCCTGTGTCTGGTCCCTGTTTGGGCACCAACTTCCACCACCAGCAAAGCTGTGAATTCAGAAACAGAAGGGGCCATAACGGGGTGAAGAACAGAGAAAAGGCTGGGGCCCGGCAGGAAAGGCTGAGTTCTGTGAGGCTTGACTGACACCAGAGCTGGCTGAGCATGTTTTATTATGGTTTTGTCATCAGAAAGTTATTTTTGAGACATTTTTAGCAAAACAGGCAGTCCAAAGGATGTAGCGAATCTTGTGAAACATTGAGGTCATCTTGTTATGCCTAGAATTCTCCACTCCAGGAGTTGGTGTCTGAATCCGAGTGTCCTTACAATTAAAAAAAAATTTAGATCATCCAACATATATTTTCTCACAAAAATAAGATTAAACTAGAACTCAATAAAAGAATATGAGAATAATCCCTAATACTTGCAGTTGAACATCATGCTTCTAAATAACCCATCCATCAAATAGGAAGTCTCCATGGGCATTTAAACATATTTGAAGTGACCGGAAGTCACAATACAGAATATCAACACTTGTGAGGCATTGCTAGTGCAGTACTGAGAAGGAACTTTACGGAACTCGATGTATATATTAGGAGAGAAGAAAAACTGAAATTCAGCATACTGAGTTCCCACTTGAAGAAATTAGAAAAGAGTAAATAAGTCCAAGATATGCAGAAGGAAGAGAATAATGAAGATAAGAGAGGCAATCCATAAGATGAGCAATAGAGAAAATCAATAAAGCCAAAAGTTGGCTCTTCTAAAAGAGCAACAATAAAACTCTAGATGGACTGACAGAGGTAAAAAGGAAAACAACACAAATTCCAATATTAAGAGTGAAGGAGGGGCTTTCAAAAAAGATCTGGAGACATTAATGAGAATAAAATAATATCATAATAAAATTTAACAACTTGGATTCAATGGACTAATTTCTAAAAAAAATCACAAATGACCAAAACGCATCTAGATGAAATAGATTCTCTTGATAGTTCTGCAAGTGTTGACTGGATTCTCTTTTTAGTTTATAATCTCTTGTAAAGAAAGATACATTTTCAATGCCTGCCCTGGCAATTAGAGGAGGGAACAGTCCCATTCCATGAAACTTTCTCAGGAAACAGAAAAGGGAACGCTTCATCTCATCCATTTACAGTAAGATCCCAATCGGACAACTGAGTATTAAAAAATAAAACTGGAGATCAACGTCTCTCATGAACACAGATGTAAAAGTCCCCAACACCAGCAGATCAAATTCAGCTCTTTTCAAAATGAACATTACGCGATGACCCTGTGGACTTCATCACAGTGATGCAAGGGTGACTCTTTGAAAATCAAACATGCAATATGCCATATTAACAGCACAAGGAACAACAGTCACATGGTCATATCAACTGATGCAGAAAAAGCCTTTGACAAAATTCAACATTCACTCATAATTTAAAAAAAAACTCTCAGCACCAACGGGGGGAAAAAATATATGGAAGCCCTGAAGAATAGAGTAAGGGAAACAGGAGGAGGGAAAATACTGGGGAATTATGTTTTGTAGGTACATGAATATGTCACAATGAAAACCCACCCTCTCCCAGCCACTCCCCCAGATTCTGGGGAGACAGTGGGGGACGAACTGGCCTCCCATCCCAAAGCAGAGATACTGAGACAATAGAGGACCTGATGGTCACTCGGGCCAGCAGGTGGGCTGTACAGTGGAGGGAGCTCAGCCAACATGAGCACAGCTGCCTTTCCCGGTGACCTCTCACGCTGCCTCTTCATATGTCCTTAGGGAAACTGTATTAGAACATGGGCTTGGAAGGGACAGACTAGATTGAAGTCACAGCACCTGGGAAATCCAAGATCAAGGTGCTACACACATGGTGTCTAGAGATCTTCTCCCAGACAGGCAGTGGGCCCCCCTCTCACTAGGGCTGCACATGACAGAGGGAGGGAAAGAGAGCTCTGGTCTCCTTTCTTCTTCTTAGAAGGACACTAACCCCACTACAGGGGTCCTACCCTCAGCACCTCCTCTAAACCTAGTGACCCCCAATGACACCACCTCCGAACTCCATCACATTGAGGGTTAGGGCATCAACATATGAATTTGGAGTAGGAGGGAACACAAACATGGACACCATGACATTGTGCAACAAGCTCTTTAATAGTATCCCTGCTATGCAGCATTGCACTCAGAAAACAGCTCCCTATGCTTTGATTCGGCTCCACTAGCCCAAGTGCTCATGATTACAAAAGAGAGTGAAATCTGTAAATCAGCTTGCTCAAATTCCCCAGACTTAACTGGTGCCGCCAACATAAGGCCTTGGATTTACTGGTTGTTCTGCAGTATTCTGGCCCCCATCCTAAAGAGGAATCTTGGAGCACCAAAAACAAGCTGAATAAAGAGCTGTGATGATTCCACTAAGCACCTGCAACAGAAGAGAAGAGAGTGGGGTGTCAACTCGACCTCAGGAGTCTGAGCAGAGATACGTGGACAAGGAACCTGCAGCTCAGGAAAGACCCATGATCCCTGTCCTTGTCCTCTTCACCACATCCCAGAGGAAACACTATGGGCAGGGGGTGAGGGATGTTTCAAAGGGAGATGGGGAATGGGGCAAGGAGGACAAGCACGGGTCTCTAGAGTCAGGGAGGTAAAAAGTGATGAAGGGTGACCCAGTAAATGCAACGAGGCCGGCTGAATGATCTCCCTGGCACCAGTGAGGTTCAGATTGTACCATCCAATGGATGCAGCAGGAGGCCCTGGTTTTTCTGATGAAAAATTCCAAAGGAATCACTCTCAGCCTTTGCAGAAAGACACTTCTGAGTTGTAAGGCCTCAATGTCTATGTGATCTTCCTATCTCTCAATCTGCATCTCACAGAGTCAGAGGAAGGATTCCTATTCTGTTTTAGTAAATGCACTAAGACAGGGAGGCCTTGCAACTATCGTCTGCTGTTGGTTAGAAAAAATAGTACATTTTCCTGAGAGACAGAACATTCTCAAGCAGGCATTTGAAGGGGATTGTTAACCTTGAGACAGAGCTTCATGTTGCCAGGTCATAGAGGTCAGTGGTCTATCAGTGCAAAGTGTGGGCAGAGTCACTAGGGGCCCAGAGTCCTGCAGTGCCCACAGCACACTGTGTACAGAGAGGGAAGGAGAAAGAGAGCTGGAGACAGGCAGAGGAGGAGCTTCCTATGGAGACAGGGCAGATGGAAGGAGTGAGAGGGAGAAGACAGGGAGTCATTGAGATATCTGCAGAAGAGGTTCCCAAAGAGGGACCCCAGGCCAGGGAGAAACTAAATGGCACAGCCACCACTGAGTGCCCCAGCCTTGCTTAAGTTGAACTCTCAGAAGCACAGCAGAGAGCCAACCACCCCTAAAACACCCGGGGTGGGGAATGATCCTTGGGGCTTTTGTACAACTTTGAAGGGGTTTCAGATGCAGGAAAAGGCATCCTCCCACCCCACCCCCAGCACACCTCCCCTGGGTCCAGACACATGTCTACCCTCCCAGCTGACAGGAGGGGAAACCACTCAGCAAGGTCACAGCAACAAAGCAGGTCTCACTGCACCCCAGTGCCCGAGCTGATGGGCAGTTCTCGGTTACCAGCCTGGGCTCCAGCCTGGGGCCCTCACTTCTGGAAGGCATGGATCTTCCCCGCCCACCTCCCCTCTTCACCCAGCCCTTCTCCTACCTTACCAAAA